AATGCCGATTTCTAACTAGCACAGAACTAACTCTTCATTTTGGGAAAATGGCGCTCCCTCACCTCATTCCCTCTGCGTCTTCCTCCTCTCTGCCTCACGCCCCTTCCTTAAATCCCAACACCACACCTTCTTCCTTAAACCCTAACCCTAGATTCCTCTCGAGGTCCTCCTCTCCGACCATTCTTCACCCACGCCGCCACAGGCGGAATTCCCTTCAGTGTTCGGCGTCTTCCTTCTCCGAAAGACATCACACTAACTCTCCCAAATCAGACGACCTGGTGGAGCTGCCGCTATTCCCTCTCCCACTCGTCCTATTCCCCGGTGCCATCCTTCCGCTCCAGATCTTTGAGTTCCGATACCGCATCATGATGCACACCCTTCTTCAAACAGACCTCCGCTTTGGTGTCCTTTACTCCGACGCCATATCTGGGACGGCCGAGGTTGGTTGCGTGGGAGAGATTGTGAAGCACGAGCGGCTGGTGGACGACCGATTCTTCCTGATATGCAAGGGGCAGGAGCGGTTCCGGGTTCGCAATTTGGTGCGAACAAAGCCATATCTGGTGGCGGAGGTGACTTGGCTGGAGGACCGGCCGTCGGGGGAGGAGGACCTGGAAGGTTTAGCGAAGGAGGTGGAGGGTTACATGAAGGATGTGATTAGGCTTTCGAACCGGCTAAACGGTAAGCCGGAAAAGGAGGCTCAAGACCTGAGGAGGAAGATGTTTCCGACGCCGTTTTCGTTCTTTGTAGGGAGCACGTTTGAAGGAGCGCCGAGGGAGCAGCAGGCGTTGCTGGAGCTAGAAGATACTGCGGCGAGGCTGAAGAGAGAGAAAGAGACTCTGAGGAATACTCTCAACTATTTGAGCGCTGCGTCTGCGGTGAAGGACGTGTTCCCGTCATCTTAGCAAAGTCCAATGGGCAGAGAAGAGAATGTGTGTTTAGAGAGGAAGATAGAGAGACAGAAAGAGATGGGTGTAAATTTTGAATGTTTATAGATTGCACACACATATATATGATTAATTGTTGTTGGGTTGTTAGGTGTTCTTCCATTGGAGCTGAAACTGGTACCTCCAACATAAACATGGTAGAAACAAGTTGAGTGAGCGGATGAATGATATATATCATATTCACGAACCAAATCTTTTCATATATCTGGATTAATCTGGTGAAGGGGATTAACTTTTTATAAGATGCCTCAAATAACCTTTTTAATCTTTTATGCCCGCTACTAATATAGAGTTATTTTTCACACACACATTCCAATTCATGATGAACAAACTAACGTACGGCAGATTTTTACAAGGGTGGGAGATTAAATCATCGAAATCTCTTTGGTTTGATTTGATTTGATTTAAATTTAAATTTAAATTTTGTAGATTATAAATAAAAATACAATTTAAATCAAAATAACATTTTAATTATAATTTTATGTTAATTTAAATAATATATGAATAGGTGGATGTACAAAATTCATAATTGATAGATTAAATATATGAATAAAATTTATTTGGTAACATGTGTAAATTGTAAGAATTCAATGTTGTTCATATGTTAATGAATTTTAAATATGTTGTTCAGCTTTTATCATTTTTAATTGGATTTTCAGACTCTCGTAGTTAAACAAGATTGTGAATTTCAAGCATAACTCAAGATAAAGTCTCGGTGGAGTGTCTTGATTTCCGCTAATCCATCCCACACAATCTTCCAACCAAGCTTTTAAAAAGAAGTTAAAAAGCATTCTACATATTTCTTTAAATCGACCATCTTTTCAAATAAATAAGGTGCCAAGAACAATCTGTCAGAAAAGAAGATACAATAGCTATATCTAGATTTCCAGGTTCACAATTTCCTTGATTTACAAGACCATAAAATTTCAGTGATCTCGATGGCTTGGACTCTGTCCTCTGCCATTTGTCACAGGGCTTTTCTGATGTTATCCAATGATAAAACTATGTTCTCCTTTTTTAATAGGTGCTGGCTTGTTGCTCATCCTCAGCCACATGAACTATAGAAGGCATAAACAAAATTGTCACTGGCTCTCTAATCAGCCCCTCGGAGCAATAGTTTATTGACTGTGACAAATCTTTTAATAATGGTTGTGAGGGTGGTCTCATGGATTCAGCATTTCAATTTATTATAAATAACCATGGAATAGACTCTGAGGAAGATTATCCTTATCAAGCTCGAGATAGGTCCTGCAACTCCCCTTTAAGTTCTTCCCCCTAAATCCTACTTCTCTTCCCCTATCCTATTTAGTCTTACTACTTATTTCTTCAGTTCTTTTTAACTCCTATTTGCAATCTATTCTATTTCATTTTTATCTTGCAGTTGAAAGACGTCTTGTGACAATTGATGGTTACACCGATATTCCTACAAATAATGAGAACTTACTACTTTGAGCTGTTGCAGCTCAGCCTATGAACAAAGGTATATGTGGCAGTGAGAAAGCATTTTAGTTATATCCAAGGTTGCCTAAAATTTAATCCTTGATGGTAGATTTCTGCCAACACCATTTTTCAGTTGAGATTGAAAGTATTTTGATTATCTCTTTGATACGGGATATTTACTGGGCCCGTGTTCCACTTCATAGATCA